TCCTAAACAATTATATGACCCTTTAGGATTGAGTGATGTGTTAATCTTTTCTAATTATACTGTACTGTATCTTTTGCTTTCAAACATGGTCACGAACAGGGCTGTTTCTGCTCCCATAGATGTAGATGGCAGAAGGCCAGCTGGAGCGGCACCAGGTCCCATTTGCAGCCCAGTTACCATGTGTTTGGGGAAAAACTGGAGAGCTTAGCTTCATGGAAGACACAAGAAACAAAGATACTGGAGCAGAATGAGATCTAAAATGATATTTTTAAGGTTCTGTCCCTTTTGCAGTATGATTTCTCATTCATCATGCAAATTTATAATTTTCATGCAAATAAAAAATTATTTTCATTATGAAGGTGAGTTTGATTAGCTTGTACAGTTGACAGCTAGTAAAGCTGTGTGAAATATTGTTGTAGAAAATCACAGTCACTAGTTGTAGAAATCACAGTCACTCCTCATCTTAAAGCTCTTATGCAACCAGAGTGATGTAAATGTGCTACAGGGTAAATAAAACCCAGCCCCATGAAATTCAGATACACAGTGGCCTGACTCCCAGTTCCATGGGGACCAGCACAGCAATGCCGGCTGCAGCAGTGGGTGTTCACCACCATCCCTTCTCTTTCTAGCTGATCACAGCGCCAGCTGAAGCACTGGGGTGGATACATCTATGCTGACAGACAAGAGTTATTACCATCTTAGTTTATGTCATTCAGCAGCAGTAAAGCTGTTACCAGAAGGACTCCTGTCAGTGTACGGTGCATCTCCACTGGGGGCTATGCCAGTGCATCCAATTTGATGGAAATGTCCTGTTGTGAACAAGCCTGGGTCTCCTTCTGCTGTCCTGAAGGAGCTTTGGAGCATTACCTGGTTGTATCAGCCCCTGTGTAAAATCTCTTTTACACGACAGAGGGATTTAAAAGTATCAAAGTGTGGCTAGTCTTCCAAAGTCCTCAGCGTGCTTGGCTGCAGACAGATCTCCAGAAGTCCTTAGAAGCTTCTGAAGCCATGCAATGGAGCTGCCAAACACCTGCCTAGGACCTAGTCCAGCTTAGGACTGCAGGACTACTCACTGGAGTGATACAGAAAGCTGGGTCACTGCACTTCCAACACTTCACCGGCGTTATAGAGATGCCCAAATTCAGCCCTCATGAGTCTCATGAGGTTCTGTGTCATGCATCCCTGGAGGCAGGCCTCCGTTACAGGGAGTGTGGTGGCTTCTGCCATGTCTCAGGAGAGCCTGTTCCTGGCAAAGCTTCTTGGATGGATTTGTGATCCCTCAGGAGCTTCATGCACTGTGGGCTGGAGGGTCTAGTGCAAAACCCAAGCCATGGGGAAGGTCTGCTGATGGGGATACAACATGCTATGTGCTTGCCTGCTCCAGCAGCCTAGGTTGGTGCTATGAGCTATCTGTGTGGCCTAGGTTGGTGCTATAATCTGTCTCCGCGACCAAGGCTGGTTCTATAAGCTGTCTCCATGACCAAGGTTGGTGCTGTCAGGAATCTCTGTGGCCTGGGTTGCTGCACTGAGCCATCTTCCTTCATGTGACTCAGGCACATGACCAGTACACCAGATGAGTCCTGTGTGACTCAGCTCTATAGATCTGTCTAATGATGGAAGGAGCAAGACATGACAGCTATTGCATTTTCAAAGGTTGCAAAAATGAGAACTCAGTCAGTACCTTTTTCTGAAGAAGATGCTTAGGCAAGCTGGGGGTCAAGTTTTCTAGAGCTCTTCACTTGACAGCTGTCTCTCAGATGCATGTAACTTGATTTTATCAGTCAGCATGCACCCGCCATATCCACCTCTTCTAAAGACATTGGTGCCAAAAGTCAAAAATGGAGGATTTTGAAAAGCTGATCCAGAACTGCTTGTGGCTGTCATCCCAGGTTTGATGTTGAGTAGCTACAGTTTGTCAGGGTGGCTAATGAATGATTGGTTCATGTAACAGAACTGCTACAGAGGCGTTAGCTACAGACTACTTGCTGCTGCCTAAGCACTCAGTTTAGAGCTCACTGAAGTTCCCTTAGAGAGGGGTTTGGACTGTTGGTCAGTTCCTTCAGCTAGAAAAGTTCAGTGAGACCAGCTGACAGGAATCTTGAAGTTGAAACATAATTCAATTCCAGCCCTTGGCAGCAGATCTCTCTCAAAATCTGATACAGTCAACCCTGGAAGGACGAACGACTATATCCTTTCTAGTTAGATCTGTCGGAAGCATAGGAAGAAGAAAGTAGATAAAATAAAGGAGCAGGAGAATAAAATTATTATCTGTCTTGCCTAAATTTCCATTTACCTTCAAACTTCTAAGGTTTTGGGAGAAAAACATCTAAAATAAGCTTTTGACTATATGTAGCACTATTGCGATACTCATTTTGATGCTAAAGCGTCACTGGTTATGGACAGAAAGGAAGGGAATGAAAAAGATACCTTCTTACTCAACTGATCAGTCCCTGGTGTGCACTATGAGTCATATCTGCTTATTTCACTAACAGAAACAAGTTTTTACTCTTTTTTTCCCTTCCTATTAGCAACACATAGCACTGACATCTAAGGGAGGACGGACCGGATCATACTCTGGCTCTCAGATCACCAACAGAAGAGTTAAATATGTTTTTATTGTCGTGATGAAGCACAGGCTGGAAGAACACAGCCTGACTTTCAGGCCTCAGGTGTCATTCACAGTCCTGGCAACTAGAAGATACAAATGTGGGATTTTGCAAAGGAAAAAAAAATATGAGCTCAACTCTGAGTGTCCACATTCACAGCAGATGCTACATGAAAGCATGGCTGTATAAAAGCCCACAGATAGATCAACAAACTGCCTGGAAAAAGAAAACAGTGGGACAAGTCCTACTCATAGTAAACCCTAAGCCAGTCCATGTCCTTTTTGAAGACAGAGATGTGGTCTTGGGTGAGCAGAATCAAATCTGAAAGGGAAGGCAATGGGAGACAGCAGGATGCCATACATAAACCAGGGGGTTTACTGTCCCAAGACCAGGTGTCCATTCACCACAGCAGGCATCACTAGCTGGGATGTGGTGTGGGAGGATGCCCTCTTCTCCCTCCCCAAGAAAATCTCCATAGCTGGACTTGGGCCGTGCAAATGATTTTGTGAATGATAAAGTAACTAGTTGGTTAATTTGTCAGCTGAGGAAGTTCATGCCAAAAAAGTCCTCTTCAGTCTCCTACGTGTGCCGTGACTCTGCATTAAAAGCCTAAGGGCCAACTACTCCAGTATGTTTCCAGTGTTGGAAAACAAGTTTTAACCAAATGGGCCAGCTAAACTGGGATTATGGCAAAGTATTTCACACTGTTGAATCTGTCTCTTATGTTTGCTGTTAACCAGACCAGATTCCATTTAACCAGGGAAATAAGGTGGGCTGATGGGTACCAATTTTGCATGAACCTTATGCATATACTCATCTTCTACTTCTTTCATTTCATCTTTCCATAAATTTGTTATATGTGGATGTATACTGGTGCCAGCAGTCTTTTTGCCTCCAGTTTCTGCAGAGCTGTTCACATGCATGCTATGTACACTTATTTATACTCACTAGGAAATGCTCCCAACGGAGGTTGCTCTCAAGCATGCTGCCAGCACATAGCAGAGGTGAAAGCACCAAGATGCAATAAGAAGCTTTGCCCTTGAGGCAAAAAGAGGGATGGAGACAAAAAGCATTTATCATTTCCTGTCACTATTATTGTCTCATGGTTCCTCCTCAGCTAATGCCAGACCTCTGGCAGCGGAGCGAGGAGGGATGGGAGGACTCATGCTGTGTGTCCATTGAATTAACAGTTTGAGGGAAGAGGCTTCCAGTAGCTACTTGTAGAATCAGTTAGAAGTGAACATCAGGCAAATCTCCTACTCTTTAGGCAGGTCCCTTTGAAGGCTAAGGTTTGCCTTGTGAATTATTTAATTTAGTTTAACAGAAAGTTTTTAATTCATTCAATTAAATGCACTGAAATCTGCAATATTATCCTACAGTCCAGCTGGAGTCAATGGGTACCCTTCCAGTGACTTCAATTACTTCAGTTCTATAAAATATTTTTTCTAATTTTATTTATTTAATTTATTTAGTTGTACTAAAGATTTCTGACATAGGAAAAAAAAAAAAAAACAAAACAAAACAAACCATCTCTTGCTTTCTGAATTTAAATGTAATGCTAACTATACCTTTTAAAAGTCATGTTTCAATGAAGGACTGAATTCTGTCATGGAACCAAATGAAACATCCATGAAGTCTGAGCTCTCCTAATGTTTAGCAAATGTGAAGGCAACTTTAATATGTAGGAGAAATAGAGGAAAAATTCCTTTATATCAGAACTAGAATTTTAAATTGCCCTCTATACTTTTACTGCATTTCAATGTTAAGTATTTAATGTAGACTGGAGGCCTGCCCCCAAAACTACTAAAACAAAACCCTCAACAAAAAAAGCATTTTGGAATATCAGTGTCTCCACAAAATACTGATGATCTGAAAACAATATGCCTGACCCTTTCAAAATATGCATCCTTACTCCTACACCACTAGAACTTTTATTTTTGCAGCAGCCCAAAATCTGGCAAGACACTCATCTCTCCCATTGACATCACTGAATCATAGATCAGTGCACATAGGCTGGAAGCTTGTGATATAATACCTTCATGCTAATATTATAATTCAACTACCATCAGAATTTTTTGGTTCACAATATAACTATAAATTATTGCAGGTTATTTCACACTTCTATCGTAAAAGCAGATAAAGGTGAGCCAGATCACAGACGTGTTGTCCTCAGTGCACTCAACAGTAAAGTAAATGGTAGTCTGTGCACTAAAAATTGTACATGTTCTTTGACTCTGTAAACTGTGGTATGTCATTGTGATATTTCATACGTATATAATAATCAGAACTACTCATGCTTACATTGCTTTAGTGGAAAGTTCCACAGAAGCATTTTTGTTACCTTCCCAAAAGAGCTGCTATTACTTTTTACCTGTACAAAGCTATCAGTCAGAACAATTTCAGAGATTGCTTTAATTATTCACTCTTCAGCCAAATTTCAAGGTTGATAGCTTTTCAGTTTTGAAGAACCACTTTTACATCTTCAGCCTGACGTCTCAGCTGGTATTTAGTAACTGCACAAGTCCAGGATCTCCACTGGGAGTCTGCAATGCAAAATAAAATCACTTAATTGAAAACAATGTTGAGGTGGCATCAAGTTGAGGGGACAATAATTTCTTAAATAGCACCAAGTTGATCTCTTGCTACTGTCTGCCTGTGGCCTGGCCAAACACTCTTGTAGGGCATTTCCCTGCTATTGCCATGCCCTCTCTGACACCTGTGTGTGTCCCAAGCTACGGTAAAAAGCTTTAATTTCTTGGGTTTGCCTACCCTCATTTTGAACTGCTCCTTTTAGTACCAGAAGTGATCCCAGGCACTCTGCAGCTCTCAGTGTTTTGCATTTTTTTGGTATAAACTTTTGTTCTTTCATTCTTTTGCTGTGATGAGGGAGCAGGGTCTTCCTGCCAGCCGTGTATGCATAAGCAAAACTATGTCGGGCTTTGAAGGCTGAGCCTGAGACAAAGCATTCCCAGTAAGATCTGTTTCATATATATCATCTCTTAAGTATCCTTTAAATGTTGCATTAATTGTGAGGCATTAGTACAAGGAAGAATATCTTTTCACTTAATCATTCATGACCGAGAGGTTTCTTGTAAACTTGATTCACTCTCTCATCTCCAGACTTTTTATTCTTATATCTCTCTCCTCATTTGAAGTAGCAATCTGCTACTTATCCTGAAAACAGTTCTTTCCAGGCCAAAGGAAATGGTATGAAGCTGCTTTTTCCTTCTCCCAGGCCTGTGGCCAGGACAACCAAGACCAGAAACTCGCTACTGAGTGTCGGACACAGAGTCCCAACAGGGACAGATGCTGTTGAAGCCTACAACCTGGTTCAGAACTGGGGAGATGATATCTCTCCCCAGTTGCCAATGTCTTGTTACTTAAGAGCTGGTCTTCCCTTTTACTGTCAAAACAGAAGAGAAATCTGGTGAATTATTTTCCATAAAGTTTGTTTTATTACTTACCTTGCTGGCTGGGTGATAATTCCTATGAAGCTCACAACTTTTAGTCTTTTCAGTTGTTTTGTGGGGTGATGGGACCCCTTTGAGTCGGTAGGTCTCCTTCATCACCCTCGAGCTAGAAATGCAAGGAAGAAAAGAAAGAATTAAAATTCTGTACAAAGGTCAGAGAAAGCTTAAAGCCTGCAACTTGAAACCACTGGCACGGAGCTGCAGCACTTCATATTTCTGCTGGGAAGGGATCCCACTTGTGGAATGAGAATAAAAGAAAGTCCTGTGTATCTTATGAGTGAATGCAATGACATATATATGCAAAATTATATGTATGTGTGTGTATACATGCTTGCATATTTATTATACATATAAACATATATATAAAGATGGAAATCTTTAGGGGCAATTTTCATTTGAAATCCTTGCTTACTCCTGAGTGATTAAAAAGGATAATAATAACAATAAAAAAAACCTCAAATGGGGATTAAATCCTCAAGAGAAGAAGTACTCCATTTATTGGAGCCTTGCTTATCTCGCACAGAGTAAGGGGATTATGCGATTGCTTTTGTGTTCTGAACGATTGTGGCTAGACGGTTTCTGACATAATAGACTTGCCTACTGAAATAGAAACATTACTGTTAGATGGATTTGCAGCTGGCTGCAGAAATGCGTTTGTCTGAACAGAAATGTCCCTTGTAACTTACTGAAACACTTGCTCTGAGTGTGGAAGTCAGGCCTTTTGGGGAAGACATACACTGCCTTTTGTTAGGCTCATGAGACTCCGTAGCCTCTGGAGACACTGGGGCTGGCACACTGCAGAGAAGGGACCTGAGTTCATAGCCCTTTTGAGTTGAAAATGCAACTCAACACTTGTGGACTGGAAGCTGGGTATATAAGAAAAGCTAGCTTTTGGGACACATTGCTAACTGATGTAATGGCATCAAGTGAGGAGCTTGATTTGCAGAAGCACAGCAGAGTTATGTGGTCAGCTGTCATGGGCTGTCTCCGAGAGTTGGGTTTGGAAATATTTCTGTGCCAGAGCTCCATCTCTCCAGACGCACATAGTACAGGGTCCTTTGTGATAACCATCATTAGCTTCAAATACTGCTTGGGAGACCATGGGCTGCAGGGCTCCCTGCAGACCTGCCAGCCTTGCTCTGCTAATTCAGACTGACCCGCATGCTGCTGTCCTCTGGGGCTGCTGGGCTGCATTTTCTGGCCACTAATGTGCTCCTTGGAAGCATTCAGTCCTGCTTTGCTCTGGTGTCGTGATCACAAAGGGGCTTTGAATGTTAGAACTTTTATAGGAGCAAAAGGGAGCCTTTCCATTCTTTACCAGCCAAGGGCAGAAGTTCCCTGCTAAAGGTGACACTGGGGCATGCAGAGCAGGGCTCGGATCCTCTCCCTCTGTGTCCCCTGCTTTTCCTTAGAGCACTTCTTTCCCCACTTTTCTAGCTCAGCAAATCCCACGTGAGAGCAGAGGTGCTCCCATCCAGCTGGCTGGCTGACAACAGAACCGAAAACCCCAGGTTGGGGCTTTTGAAGTTCTCAGTGCAGGGTGGGTGCTATTGGCTTCAGAGGAGCAGCGGGAGGCCAGTGCAAAGCACGTGGGAAAAATCCTCAATCCTCCCCCTCTATGTCTGAAACACTGAACTGGCACAATGCCAAGCCAGATCTTCAGGCTGCGCTTTGCTATCTCTACCTCCAAATCTCAGTATGTCCTTTCCACACATTTTGTCAAAATAAAGCGTGATCCCAGGGACTCTCAGCTCTCTCGTGTACCGGGTCTCCCCAGAAGAAGGACAGCCTGGCAGGGGTGTGCCCCAGGGTGCAGCTCCATGTGGGAAGATCAAGCCCATCTATTCCTTCCATAGATGGAGCACACCCATGGGTTGGAACATCTTTTGAGGCAAAGCAGCCCAAAGCTACAGGAGTGTTGTAAAGGGACAGTAAAGGGTTAAGGTGTTCAGGCCATGGCAGCTACAACAGAGCTACTCTCCTTTCCTGTTTTCATTCATCTCTGGCCACTTCCACCAACACACCCGCTCCCACCCCTTCCCATAACCTGGTCACTTTGTTTGGGGAAGACATTAGCTTTCCGCAGTGTTGCTTTGAGCATGGGTTGTATTTTGTTTTATGTTTTTTGTTTTATTTTTTTCTTTAAGATTATGTCATTTTAAAACCATTTCACTTCTAAAAATGACAATAAACTTTACACTTTCCTGCTGTAAAACAGGCCAGTGTTGTCACTAGTCTGCTCGTTCTGGGGGATTTATGGCCCCGTGTCTGATGTGATGCAATCCTCTCAAATGAAAAATCATCACAACTGAGCCTGTAACACAAAGAGACGATTTAAGAGGAACAGGAATAATTAAGGCTGCCCCTTACAAGCCCAGCACAAAGGCATTTCTCAGAGCAGCCTGTACTCTTAGTGAATAAGCAGAAGGAGATCTTAGTTGTCCAAGACTGAAATCCCCCATGGTCTCTGCTGCATCTGCGAGTGAAGGCAAACCTGTGTCTTTGGATTTTAGCCAGTGCATGGGGAAAAAAAAGAGACTGATTCTGGGGGATCTTTCCTCCACAAGCCTTCCAGCCCTTGCCAAGGCTGTCTTGGGGAGGGAGGGGAAGGTGCTGAGTGTGTGTCAATTGTAGCACACACATGGACCGCACAACTCTGCACCACCCTGCTTTCAGTTGTTCCCTCAGTACGGAACCAAGAGCATCCTGTGGCCCCACATATTTGCATAAACAGCAGATAGGACTTTAGTTAGGCCATGTCTGTCATCCCTTGCTTAGCAGCTGCTGTCTCACTTGAGTCTGTGGAGTTTGGCATCACTTGGAATTGGAGACTGCTGCTACCACATCTCCTGCATAAGCTGCTCAGCCTGGTGCCAGTCCAGGGCAGGAGTCTCCTCGGTGTCCCGTAAACACCCAAACCAAGAGCTGTTTAAAATCTGTGATTGTTTCCCGGGGTCTTGGGGACTGCAGCCTTCTGTGTTAAACCTCCCTGACTTCTCTTTACCCAAAGGTCCCTGCTGCAGCCTGCCTTCCAATTGGAGACCCAGGCGCCAGGTCACCACCTCCTGCTGTGCTGCTGGGGGATCAAAAAGGGTCCTGCGGTGCACTAATCCTCCCCTCTGACTTTTTCCTAAGGCATCAAACTGCCTTTGGGGGAAAAACTGCCTGTCAAATGTGTGTCCTCATGTCCATTTACTATGTGCCGGAAATCAGAAATTTGAGAGCAATTAAAAGTCAAACAAGACATTTAAGGAAGAGAAAAAGCCATGTTATAACTGAAATAATAATTTAGGTAATGTTTTAAAAGTCCCCACTGAGACAGTTTCCCCAGAAATTCAGGGGATTTTAGACAGCAACTTTAGGTGAACTACTATAGATGCCCTGAAACTGGCACGTGTTGCATTAGCACATCTTGCCGTTGAGCTGCTCTCTCTTCGGGAATGGAATTCATGTCCAAAATGTTAAAGGAAATGACCACTCCAGTTAAATGACAGGGTGGTAATTTCAAAAACACATGACTTCAGTTTATCTGTCCCTCTTCAACTAAAAAATGACCAGTGATTGCAACAGGAACAGAATCTGGCTGAAAGCTTTTATTAAATTTCACTCATTATCTAGAAACATGACTAAACAGAGTACCAGCAAGTATGCTGTAGCGATCCAGTTTTTATTTACTCAGGATTTTGAACTAAATTATATACATTTTTTTCTCATCTTCAGTTTCTAGCTTGGCTTTGACTGCTTTTCCAAGAGGGAGTCTTCAGATTATAAAAGCCTTAGGTCAACTTGTGGCTGAAAGCACTCTAAGATCATTGTCTTTGCAGCATTGTGTACACAAGTGGTGCAATTTAATAAGGATAATAAATGTAACAAATAGGAGAAGTGTGCCAGTTCTAATCACATTTCATATGAGCAGGCTTTTTTAGCCTTAATGCAGAAAAAGAATATATCTTTGATACAGCTCCTCTTGTTTACTATCATTTCTGTGATTGCAGTTTTATGTACTTCTTAAATCCAATTACGAATGTGACTCACTGGTATTCTTAGCAGACTGCATTCAGGGAGACCATCTTGTCAAAAGTCAGACCTGAGAAAGTGGCTCATTTACTCTACATACTTATTCTCATTTTCTGTTTGTAGGGCACTGATGCAAATTCCTGGTATTTAGATAATTGCATTGCTTTATTTTATCTGGGGACATGTTTTTAAACTTTTGATTGTTCATGAAAAATTCTCTGCTAGCATTTCATGGTTGAGCTGTGATAGTTAATTATATGTAGACACACCAGCCCCGTAGCATCATTTCTATTTGTTCATTTAATATCCATAACAACTGAGTTTGAAAAGAAAAGATTCCTCCAGTACTCTGCTTTTCACTGGTCAGTGAAGCAATGCCAACTGGAGATTGTACAGAGCTGGACTTAGCCAGCATGGTGTCCCACGAATAGGTAGTGTCCTAAATTTTTCCTTCAGTGCATCCCATCAATACAATGCTTCTTCCACTATCCTCCTCCAAACCTCCCCTCCTCAACTTTCTGTCCCTCTCCCCCCTGCTTCTTTCATGACCTACAAAAGAGTTGGGCTCTGAGGAGCATCTAGAAGTGGAGCCGCAGACGTGCAGAGCTGACAGTGCTGCTGTGGCACTGCTAGTCAAAGCTTGATCCAAATCCTGCCTATCTAAACTTATCAAACCATTGGGACAAAGATACTGGGTGTCACTCAATCATATTCACATTGTCCTCAGAGCTGGAATGAGAAGACAGTATGCAGCTACATAGAGGGGCACAAAGGAGTGTTCTACTGCATATGTTCATGCAGTATCTGGCTGAGGGCTGAGGGTTGCAACTGCTCCAGCTCTACAGCTATTGCTTAAGAAGGGGGGAAGGTCTTGTACATCAGCCTCATTGCCCTTGGGTTGTCGCTTCGATTTGGCTTCATTAAGTAATAGATTATACTCCATTTTAGAGTTCCTGTTGTAATAGATGCAAATGATCTGTACTTTTTGGTTGCTGTTTTTGAGCTGACCTGCAAATTAACATTGGTGCTTCTCCAGTGGTGAAAACCCCATAATGGTCTAAACATGGACTCATAATAGCTTAAGCTGCAA